AAAAAAAAAAAAAAAAAAAAAAAAAAAAAGAAAGAAAGTAACTTTAAAACCAAGCAGAGCATCACCATAAAGCAGAACCCCTCTTCCTCCCCCTCCCACAACAATACCCCAGCCAAGCTTCATTTGCTAAATGCCTGCCCAAACATGAGGGTCTCACAGCCCTTTTCAAAGATGCCCAGGCTCTGCGGCTCTGGGTCGGAGTGACTTCCAGAGCTGAGGGGCAAGTGCCGAGAACAACCTCCTACACACTTTTGCCAATCAGGCTTGACACATTCATGGTCTTTGCAGCAGCTTGCTCTCAGCTGACCTTAGGGGTCATAATAGGCTCTCATGGTTCTCCCTGGGGTATTTAGGACCTAGACCATTTAGGGTTTCGGAGGTCAAAACCAGCACCTTGAACTTCACTCACAAATAGGGTTACCAACCCTAACTGAAGCTATTCTGGAACATTTTTTCCCCCCCCAACATAACGTAATGTCATTCATTAATGGTGCTGTTCAACCTGTTCCTCAGTCTCCCCGAGGGCTTTCAATAACCAGCAGAGATCAGCGCTGATTCCAGCAGACTCTCACCAACCCTACTCAGAAACCGACTGAGCGCCAGCGCAGAATTGCTCTAGAGCAGCAGTTTGCAACCTTTTCTAGACTCCAGACCCTGCAGGAAGATGCCAACTCTTTGTTCTCACTTGTTTTTCTATGGGAACATGCTAGAGCCCCTCCCCTGCAGCAAAGCACCCAGGCGGCCCACAGCCGGGCAGGTTGATCTCAACCCTGGCCATCCCAGACTGAAATCGATGGGTTTCCCCCTCTGCACCACGCCAGCACCCAGCTGTTCTAGCACGGTGTGACACCTCCTGGCCGACCATCGCCCCCCCCCTCTGACGTCAGCACCCGTTGAGCTCATCCCCACCCCGCCCCGCCCCGCCGGCGCCTGCAGCGGGGTACACGATGGCCCCACCCCCTCCCCTCTAGGCCGGGGAGCGCCGAGCAGGCGGATCGATGCGCTCGCTCGGGAGCCGCCATTTTCGGCGCCGAGGGGAGAGCTGGCGGTTGGGCGGTGACGCTTCCTCCCCGCCCGCGCGGCGAACAGGTATGTAGCCCCTCCCCGCCCCGCCCCGCTGCTAACCGCAGCTTCCCCGAGCCGCGGCCGCTTCCTGGCGGCGTCACGCGAAGGGGAGCGGCCATGAGCGCAATGGTGAGTGGGGGACCGTGGCTGAGGAGGGGGCTCGGCCCCACCCTTTTCTCTCTTCGCGCGGGGGGCGGGGCCTCCGGAACGCGTGCGCCCTACCCAACAGTTGGGCGCGAGGCCCGTGACGCGCCTCCCCTGGGGGTCGCTGCGGGCAGGAGGCTGCGCCGGGCCCGCTGGGGGTGGGGGTGGCGGCGGCGGCTGCTTCCCCTGGGGTCCTCGTGGCCACAGCGCCGCTCCCATGTGTGCTTGGGAAGGGCTGCTCTGCTTTGCTTAGCCAGGGGCTTTCCATGGGGTGCTCTGTTTTACCGCGTTTGTGTTTGTGTACACGTGTGAGTGCACGCGTGTGTGAGCTTTCCAGTAGATGTAAGTGCATGCACGTATGGGCGGGCACACTGGTGTGAGCATATAGTTTGCTCAAGTTCACTCTTAAAAGAGTCTCTTAAGAAGTTTCACAAGGCCCTTAGCTTCTGCTGGGACGTTTTCTTGCTGCTTGGCCTATAAAATGGATCTGTTCTTTTATCTGTTGACCCCTCTGTGAAACCCTTTGAAATATGAACTTTCATTTCTACCCAAGAGAACTTTTACAATATTTTCCAATTCCTGACAACGGATATTTGTGCCCGAAAGCTTGCAGTTAAAGACTTTTTTTTTTTTTTTACAAAAATCTTGTTGAGCTATTAAAAGATATCATCTCTACTATGAGTCCTGACTGCTTTTTCCTTTAAACCGGTGGTTCTCAAACTTTTTTTTTCACGGACCGCTTGAAAATTGCTGAGGGTCTCAGAAGGCCACTTCATCTAAGTCCTCAAAAAAAAAAAAAAATCAAGTGCAGGTACAGATACTCTTGATTGTTCAGCAACCTTTCTGCTGACCACCTGAATGAAGCTTGCAGACCGAGGTTTGAGAACTGCTGCTTTAGACCAATACGACTACAACCTGGATACCTGATCCTTTCTTTTAGGAATTTGGATCTGATGACAGATCTGGAATTTTGATCCTAAAATAGATCCTTTCTTTCAGGAACTTTGAATCTATGATCAGGTTTTTTTCCTTTCTTTTTCAGAAATGCAGTGCTGTGTATGCTAGTAAAGCAGCTTATTTCAGGAGCAGTCCAGTGTTGTCTCAAATGCTGGTATGATGGAGAGCTTGAAATCCAAAAAGTTCATGTGACAAAACCAGGATCTTACTTGAGTTCTGCCTAAATCATGGCGAATGAAATACTTTTTTCTATAAAAGTAGTTTTACATTCATAATAGTTAATGCCGTGTGTGTGTGTGTGTATGTTAGTATCTCACTTCCTCATTTAATTTATGATTCAATTTCATTGTTTAGTTTTCATTACTGTAATTGCTATTACTATGGCAATCCGTAAAGCAGTGGTAAAGAATGGTTCTGTGTTGTCCTAGACTAGTGGTTGCCAACCAGTGGATTTTGATCCACCAGTAGATCTCAGAGCCTCTTGGAGTCAATCAGAGGCTGGGGTGGGGAGCTGAGTACCCACTTGCATGCACACGTGCTGCAACCCAGCATGTCAGTCTGTGGGGGAGGGAAGGGGCAGGGGCTAGATTGAGGACCCCACACAGTGAGAGACAGTGCCACAGGAGCAGGGGTAAGTTGAATGGGGTCCCCAGCTAGGTGGAACTTACCTGCTGGGGAGGCATACCCTCAAATAATTTTTTTTCTCTGTGCCTCAATCTGCCCCCTCTCCTTCCCTCCCCCCATACTTACTTGTGCACAGTACATCTTGGGTTGATTTGAAATGCCAAAGCTGATCTGCTTAAAAAGGCTGGAGACCACTGTCCTAGACATTAGCGTTACCATGGGGTTTGAAGAAATTCTTGAAATCCTTTCTACTTTTGAAATTCTTCTGAGAGAGAATCATTCTCTTACACTTGATGCAGCACACTTTATGAGCAGCCACAGTGAGAGCAGTTGGATTATCCAAGAGAGAAAACTGTAGGTCCAAAATGGAGTTTGTAAAGTTTATCATGGTTTGCTGGGAGGCCCAGACTAGAGGAACACTAACTGTAAATTAGTGTTCCTCTATGATACTATGGCTGTATCTGCTGATGAACTTATCTTTTGTGGCCAAGTTTAAGGAAACAGTGAAACTGGGTAAGATTAGGTTAGTTTGAAGTCACTAGACCTGAGAAAATGCTTGGGGTATCTAAGCCAGACTGGTGCCAGGAAAAAAAATACAGAAGGTACACAAGATGTGCAGTAAGAGGAGTTTAGATGACCCCTTCTTTTCATTCATCACAAGTAATACCAGTGCATATTCGTTTCTAAATTACAGTGACTTCCTGTTTTGGCATCAAGTTGAGTGTACTGCCAGAACATTCCTTTTCTAAGGAAGGTGATAATTCACAAGTGTTTTTGTGGTCTCTGTGTAACTAAATGAGGTGTATTGACTGACTCTGTTCCTTTTTAGTGTGAGAAATGAACTGCCAAAACAGAGAAATGGGATTTTCTGCATCGCCAGATTCAGTCCTCTGTGTTCACAGCCAATCATGCATTATATAATCCCTTTCATAAACATATTAAGACCCCATCTTTGTAGTTGGGTGGCTTCCCTTTCACCTCCTACTAGTTGGCTGTTCAAAACCTTGCTCTTTTGATGGTTAGCTCTTCTCCTAATTCCCAGTCCATATTCATAGAGATTTCATATAAATTTGTTGTTGCATCAACATTGCTCTTTTAAGTAAAATGCTTCTCCCCCCCACCATTGGCATTAATCTCCCCTGTATCTATAACTGGGAAATAATAAAGAATGCTATAGGACTGTAGAGAAGAACGTTGTCATGAGCCAGCAGCGTGCTCTTGTTGCCTCTGCACAACCAAAAAGAATAGCTAACAAAGTACTGTTTTTTATTAACAGAAGTGTCACTTGCAAATCAGGGGAAGTAATCCTTCCCCCTCTGTTCAGCACTGGTGACAGCTCACCTGGTACTATGTCCAGCTGTGGGCCCTACACTTCAAGAAAGATGTGGACAGATTAGAGTCCAGCAGAGCAATAAAAATAATTAGGAACCTGAAACATGATTTACAAGGAAAGGCTGAAAGACCTAGGGTTATTTAGTTAAAGAAAAGAGAAGACTGAGGGGGTATTTGAATGATGACTAAGTCATCAAATACCTAAGGGACAACCTATAAGGAGGATCTTGTTGCTTGAGTTGAGTTGCATGAAATATCCTAGGATCACATTTGCCTTTTTTCATGCGTGTATCACATTAATGTCTCATAGTTGTCTTGTGATTTAATAATACACACAGGTCTTTTTCCTGTGTCATTTACAACTGATAGGTTCAGAGCATATAGCAGAAATTCTTCTGTCTGTACATCCCCTCCTCCTCCCCCCAGTGCCTGATCTTTAACTTAAGTAAATTTTGTCCTGTTTCTATTACCACAGTCCTGTCCTCTAATTCTGTTTCTCAGATATCCGTAGCTTCCTCTGCATTAACAGTACTTCTCAACTTTGTGTCACCAACAAATTTTATTGACATAGTCCTACTTTTAGGTCCAGGAACACTAAAGAAAATGTTTAACAAATTGGTCTCAAGAATGATCCTTGAGAAACTCCGTTTGTAAGCTCTCCAGCCTGCTACTTCACCTTTCAGCACACACTACTGTTGTCTTTTCTGTAAATGGTTCCTTACCCTACCTAACAGTTTTACTAATCTCTATCTTCCCTAATTTAATAAAGCATGCTTTCGCCAGGAGATTACTGAAGTTCATCTAAATTAGATTAATGGCATTTCCCAGACTAGAAAATCATCTATCAAGGAAAATGCCATGCTCTGTCTGTAGTAAAATCATGTTCTCATTTATCACGCTTTTCATTTAAGCAGGGCAGAGTAGGGATTTTTGTAGATCCTCCTAGTAAGGGAAAGTATTCTTAGCCTGAGACCTGAAGAACAGTTGAGACGAATAACATTTTTTTACTAACTGCTGGCTGAACTAGCTTTTGACTTGCACTCGAAAACCCTAGGAGCCCTGCCTGATTAGTGTATTTAGCCTGAGGTTGGAAAAAAATGCCTCAAACATTAGTTACCACATACTTGACTGAACTGAAGAAATGAAAGATTTGCTTCTCAGTCCAGTATTTTTCTAAATTTCTTTTCTTTAGTTTCAGTCACCAGGTTTTATCATGTTGTGCTACAAATGAGTGCATTTGACTATTCATGTGGCCTAATTTTTTGAAACACCACATTTTTTGTTAAGTGGCAAAGGTTGAGATCCTGGATGTTTCTGGACTTTTGCCTTGGTGATTTTGGGGTGGTCTGCACACCTTCCTGAATATTTAAAAGAAATCCAAAGGAAGGGTAGAGAGAGGGGAGGATTTCTTGTAATTTCACACTTGAGGTAACTACAAGTGTGTATCCTACTATTGTTGCTAAATCTTTCTAAATGAACATTTAATATATTGAGTTTAGTGTACTGTGACAAAAAGATAAATTAGAGTGGTGATAACCACAGTATCTCTGTACCAGCTCTTTAATTGTGATTTCAGAGTTGTGATCATTCCCATCCCATGACAACATACTTTAGTCATACCTATGAGCATTGGTACAATACAGCTGGTTTTGGCTCTGGGCTAAAGGGGCTCGCTGAACCATGAAACTGATGAGACAAGTTTTTTGCACCAATGCTTTCTAGAGATTGATGAAAGACCGGTTCCCATTTTTTGCAAATTATGTTCAAAGGTTTTGAAAGAGTGTTTTTATGGATATTAGAAAAGATCCGGGAATAAAAAAGTGTAAGCAGTTGCACAAACTTTAAAAACCCCCCAAACTAGCGACTACTACTAAGTGCTGGTACAGTTTCCTGAGTTTACTGCTGTTGCTTATTTTCCATCCTTCCTTACATGTGCATGCACACGCGTATCAGAGGAAACGCAGTATACAAGTAGTGCATTATTGCAACTCCCGTAAAGCTTTTGTGCATTTAATATTTCTATTTCAGTTTTTTTTAATTAATTTAACTTATGTACTGGTGACACTGGAATGCTGTTCTGCTGTGGCTTATCTCACTTCTGTGGTTTCTTTCAGCTTCCAAACAAAGACCACAAAAAGAGAGAGGAACAAAAGGGCGATAATTCCATTGGCGCTGAATGCAGCGAACCAAGAATCATGGATCTGAAATTCAACTCTTCAAGGAAATACATTTCTATCACTGTACCTTCCAAGTCGCAAGCTATGTCGCCTCATATCAAGTCCATAGATGATGTTGTTGTTCTTGGCATGAATCTCAGCAAATTTAACAAACCTACTCAGTTCTTCATATGTGTTTCTGGAGTTTTTATGTTTTATCTAATCTATGGATATTTACAGGTAAATTTTATAGTGTCATATTTATGCTAGCAGCCCTTTCTTCTTCTGTTTTACCATATATGTTTCTAAAATGATAGTGCTTTTACTGGTAAATTTAATATCTGCTTTATGCAGCTATGTTTTAAAAAGAAGAACACTGAAAAGATGAGATAGCGAAGTCAAGCATTCAAAAATAAAAAACAGTATGTGCTTATGAAATTAGAGTGTATCGTAATGTTATACACAAGAGGGCTTACTTAAGGTTGGCTGGGCAACCTTAATTCTGCCCTTTCAGGTTCATTGAGTGCAATATTTAGAAATTTTATTCTAATAAATATTTTTTGTATCCAAGTACCTAGTCCTTTAGGAAAACACAAATTTCAGAATAGTCTGTTCCTATATGGTTTTTCAGCAAGCTTAAAACCTTTAAATCTGTAGTAAATCACTCGCACCATTTGAATAACACATACTAATAATAGGTAGATACAACAATACATTAGTCCATATCCAATCAGCACTGATAAAAGGAAAATTGACATTATTAGCAATCGGCTTTTTTTTGGCCTGTATAGCTGATGTCACCAATTTGAATGCTGCGTGTATGTGCGTAGCCAGGAAAGCAGCCCAACAGCTTGGAGAGCAGCATGGTAAGTCTGTGCAGGCGGAAGGAGCAATGGGGGGACAGATCAAGGCTCCCACAGGGAGGGATGGAGTGGGGCAGGCACTGTCCAGCTGGGGTGAGTCACCCTGCAGAGCCATGGGCAGCTTGTCTGGAGGGGTGGGGAGCAGGAAGCAGCTCACCGCCACTGCGCACACCCCTGGGGAGGCAGAGCACATGCTCCCTGGATTTGGGTGTGGGGCAAGGGCAGGCTTGGGGCTGGTGGCAGCACCATCCTCTTCCTGTCAGGGGCTGAGCTGGGGCTGTGCTGGGGACAGGCAGGTAGGAGCTGGGCTACAGGAATTTTTGGGGTGGCTGTAGCCCCCCATAGTCCCTTCCCAGCACTGCCACCGCCCACCCCAAGCGCACCCCTGGCCCAGCATTTCCCCACTGAGAAGAGGCCAACGCAGCCCTTTGCCCCGAGCCCTAAGTAGACAGCCTGCCCTCACATTGCTTACATATTTGGGGCTCACATGCCCCCCATGCTTCCCCAGGGGTGTGCACAGTGGCAGGAGCCACCCTCACATCCCTCAGACAAGCTGCCCACTGCTTCATCCTGCACCCCACCCTGGCTTTGCAGTGCCTGCCCCAACCCCACTCCGTCCCTCACCGTGAGGGCCTTGATCTGCCCCTTCCTCCCAACAGACTTACCAGCCTTACTGCTTTCCATGTTGCTGGGCTACATACTGTCAATCAGATCGGTATCAGCCAATATGGCTGGTCAATAAGTGGCCATCGGTATCAGCCCAAAATACCTTTATTGATGTACCCCTATTTATCAGCGCACCCCTAGTAATATCCTCTCTGCACAACCACCATGAAGATGGATGAAAAATGTGCTTTGCTGATAGGGATCAAAACTGTTTGCTAAACAACAAAGGAATGCTGGGTGTTTTTGGAATCCTGGTTTCAGTTCTAGGTTTTACATTGGAGTGTTCTATAGAGTTACTGAATTTCTGTGCCCAGATGGCATTTATACACACACTTTTTTTCCTACAACACACTTGGACATCTGACACTTCAGAGATCTGCTGTTCTGGCCACAAAGTGATATGATCTGTGGTATGCTGTGTGCAGTTGTAGAAATGGCAAAATGCATATCAGCACGCAGAAAATGGTAGCGTTGTGCTTTTGAACTAAAATACCGTGTGTGTGAAAGCTCAAAAGTGCGTCGCTGCCATTTTCTCAGTGCTGATGTGCGTTTCGCCACTTATACAACTGCAAGCGATGCAGCACTGGTCACTTGTGCATGTAAAAATGCCCGGTGTGACTGAGCCAGACTGTTAATATCTATTTCAAAGCATGCAGCTACAAAAGTTTCTCAAGGAAATGGTTATAAGAATTTTGACAAAAAAAAATACTTTCCCCTAATGTCAGTTTCAGAAACAGCTGAAGAGTTTCTGTTGAAACTTTTAAAAGGAAAAAAAAAGTTAAGCCGAGGCAGTTATTTTGTTAAAGTTATTGGTAACTGAGAAAAGAGTCTTATCCTGGAAAATATTAGGCAGGCAACCTGTAGGCATTGTCACCAGCTCTGCCTGTAATTGACACATCCATATCATTCTGTGCACAGTACTGTATGTAAATTTTTCATAACATTTTTTTTCAAACCACCAGTTTTAATATGCTAGCAGCCTGCAGACTTATAAATTCACGTGTGCTACTTAATTTAGGTACTCAAAATATTACGTGTGGATTCTTTAGAAATGAAAATTTCTAATAAACTTGTCTCTTAAAGGTGTTGATTTGTATATAACTTAATCTTTATGAGCAGTTTATAAATTCTGGCTAGAACCAGAGTCGAACTTAAATAAATAATTTTGAAAATTCAGTTAAAAACCCAGACATCAAGTCCTTTCCAATTTGTGATGGATGTTCATGGTTCTCTGATGTATTGCTCCATTAACTTCGTTGTAGATACATTTCTCCCTATTTTTTTTCACAGAATCTTTAAATCATGCTTTTCTTCAATACTTAAGTGACACATACTGTAGATGATTTCTACTTAATGTTTATAGATTAAAAGCACAAGAATTGCAGACTTGTAATGAGAGAACCGGTCCACTAATCACGTTTTAATATTTTGGGTGTGAATGTGTTTTCTTTCAATAGGAACTGATATTTTCAGTGGAGGGTTTTAAGCCCTTTGGTTGGTACCTTACATTAGTACAATTTGGGTTTTATTCCATTTTTGGACTAATAGAACTTCAGCTTATTCAGGACAAAAGGAGACGGTATGTATTTTTTTAAGTGAGCTTAAAAAGTAAATATCTTGATTTTTTTTTTTTTCTTCCAATTTGATTTGAAAAATCTGCCTTCTGGTATTTGAATATGAAATACGAATATTGCTGATACTATGCAGAACATTTTGAGTCAACTTCATGTATTGTCATAGAATAAAATACAATATTTGATAAATAGAGTTGAGATTTGAAAATATATACATCACTTTTCTGTCAACTAGCATATGTGTGTGCATGCATGTGCACTCTCATGCATATACTGAAGACAAAAAGAGCCAGCTGTCCTTGAAAGTATGTTTGAAAGCTTTCAAACATGCATTTAATTTAGCAAGTCCTAAAATGTCAACCTTTTTTATATTTGATTGTTTAGCTTAATTCACTAGAAATTTATGCTACTGTGCACATTTGTATCAGAAACCTTGAAACAAGTAAATAACTTTTGCTATAATTTACATATGTCTGTTGTAAGCAGCAAGATAAGTTACCATTTTAGGCATTGATCCTTTAGAGAAGTACAAATGGGCACTTTAAAATTTGTATCTAATCATTAGATTACTGTCAAGGGATGGCATGCAGTACTTAAAGCTGCGTTACCCTGCTTCTCAGAGAAGCTACTTCTGTGGAGTTCCACTATTCTGCTTCTGATACCTTAAATAAATTAGGTTTCTGACTGCATGGCTCAGCATAAACATGCCCGTTAAAGACCATCCTTTTTGGTGGGAGCAGAGAGGTTACTATATTTACTGACATTTTAGAGAAAACATTTGAAAAGGGTACATTTTAAATGTTGCTTTGTTTTTTCTCTTGTGCCTGTGCATTTCTGTAGTATTAGTGTCCATGATTTTTCTTTCACCCTCTCATCCCCAATTTGCCTCACCAGTGGCGATCCGTGGCTAAGGCTCTAGATGTTAAACTTGAGATCATAACACACTTGTATAGACAGCTTCTGGAAAGCATGATTTATTTTAGATGCTGACAGATTCTAAATTATAGAACCTCTTGAGATATTCTAAAATGAAATAATGTGTCGGGTTACACAGAGTTGTTAATTTGTTAAGCTTCTTTTTAAATGGCCATTAATATGTTTGACAAAATGGAACCACCTGTAAAAACTAGTGGAGTGTGTCACTATATGTTACATTGGAAATTATATTGAAATTACATTTTCTGTAATCTGGGTAGCATTTTGTAAGTTCTTAAGAACAAAAAATATCATTATTATGATTCTGCCTTTTCTTTGATTTAGAATGTTTTGTATACTCTGTCATCCTCCCTGCCCTGTGTACAGCATGCCAGTTTAGCACAATTTGCTGTGAGTAAAGCAAGACTTGACCTTGTTTGCTGTTCCCCTTTGCAGATATTTTTAGCTTGCTCTTAAGTTAGCCAGACTTGATGCACAGCATGTTTGTGTTGATGAATTCACTTCACAAACTTACTACTGTAATACTTAGAAGCACTCTGCTTGTGTGCAAAACTACAGTTGTCACCAGATAGTGGTTTCACCAGATCAAAAGTGTATTCATCTGAATGCCCAGATACCTTGTACTGAAAGTTAGTTGGGTGAGATTTGGCATTAAACTATCTTCATCCTATTTTATGAAGTTATTAAAGAAGCATAACATTTACTTGAAATTGACTATGGGTTTTTCCCAATTTCTAAAAATAGAGAAAAATTCACTTTAACTTTACAAAAATACGTTTAAGAAAAACCAATCTGAACCATAAATATTTCAGAAAGTTATGAGCATTTGAACATGAAAGTGGTTGTAATATAAACTGTTATGTAGTCTTTATGAGGGAAAGTTAGTTAAGAACAGAACTGAGATTTAAGAGATCTGGGTTTGATTCCCAACTTCCTGTGCTGTCTTTGGTCTTTTACTTAATATCTTTGTGTCTTGGTTCCCCCATTTGTAAATTGAAATAATGTCTGAGAAGAGTGCTATATATTAACATTTCATGCTGTTTTATACTTCTTAAATAAAAGGCACTAAAGTTTGAAGTATAGTTCATTTAAACCAAGTTAAAAAATATTGAAATTGCAACAATTTTTGTGCAATTTCAGTAAAAAAAAAACTGAATCCTAGGAAAATTTTGGCTCATTTTTAAAACTTTTTTTCTTTTTTTCACAGTATGAAAGTCTTTCTTTTTAGAAGTGTTACATATATATATAAAACCCTCCATCTGTTTATATTTTGCAGAATTCCTGGCAAAACCTACATGTTGATAGCCTTTTTAACAGTGGGTACTATGGGTTTATCAAATACCTCACTAGGATATCTAAACTATCCTACTCAAGTCATCTTCAAATGCTGTAAACTTATTCCAGTTATGATAGGAGGAGTCTTTATACAAGGTATGCTTTAATTTTGCTACAAAATGTTTAACTTTTTTTAATGGAAGTTTTTTAAATCCAACCCTTTTTCTGTATAAAGTTTTGGTTTTAACAAACCACCTTTCTTAGACATGCAAAAGTTCCATTACAAATTCTCAAACATTTATAATTTAGATAAAAGAAACATGATGAATTTTATATTTAATGATGTCATTATCCAAAAATAAAAAGAGGGCCTGGTGAATGAATCTCACTGAAAATCATAACATAGTGATTATTAAAAAAAAATATATATATATGGCATACTTAAATATTGTGTTTTAATAAGAATCACAGTATATTATGAAAAATTCCCACTCTGTACCTGAAGATGCAGGGCTGCTTAAAGTCGATGAAGCTTCAAGCAAGCAATATTTTTCTAGTACAGAGCTCAACATTTAATATTCCTGTTATAGTAGTTAGTTCCATGTATTATAGTCAGAGTAGAATATTGTGATTCTTTCAGGAGTGAGATGAAATAAAATAGACAAGTTAAAAAAGCAAAATAATTCATACTAGAAGAGAAATATTGTATATATAATTAAAACTTCAGGTTTTTTCTCATAATGGAATCTTCGTATGTCATTTCAATTTGGTATCCGTGGGTCATTTTATAATGTTTTTGGATTATATAATACTATATATTCAGCAGCTGAGAACATATTTAAAGTACTGTTCTAGGGAAAGGGAACATGTTATTCAGATGATATGCTCAGGATCTCACCTCATTCCCCAAAAAATTGTTGCCTGGAACTACAGGATTCTGAAGTAGTAGTAGGCAACCATCAATCCTTCTGGATCATGATATATGTGTTAGAGCACAAGGACCTGTGACACGCACACAGGCAGGAGTATGGAGATCTTCCTTCACCCCCTTCCATCCTTTGGATACTGTTTCAGTGGCCTAAAAGCCCAGACATTTGGTGCCTCAATGGCTGTGGTTATATATGCATCCAGGAATTGAACCTGTGTCTCCCGTAGGCCGGACAAGGATTCTACCACTGAACCACAAAAGGAGGTCTGGATTCTAAAGTAATAGTTCCCAGTCTGGCCTGTTAACCTGTTGGTGGTGGTCTGCAGAGAAATGGCTAGCCAAATGGCAACAGCTGTTCTTGTTTCCTTCTGTCATTACATTTAAAGAGAACTGAAGTATACTAGATACATGGGAAAGTAGTATTAGTTAAGTAAACAATTGTTCTTCCTGAAGTGATATCACTTCCTCCCCATTGAAGGGAAAATACGGTTTTTGCCACTGTGAATAAAAGAGATGGCTCATAGGACAATTTTGTTATCAAAATGCTCTTTACATTATGAAAAAGTTTTGGAACTGCTGCTGAAGGGAGAGGTACATATTAAGTTTTCTCCTCAGATAGTGGGAAGCAGGACATTGGGTCTGTGTATATCAGTTGAGAACTGAATGAAGGAAATGCTTTTATTTGCTTACTGCCCAAATAAACACCAAAACAGATTTAAATCTAACACTGATTACATGGTCATATTCATGTTGTTTGTATTGTCTGGGGTTTTTTATAGGAAAACGTTATAATATTGCAGATGTGTCTGCTGCAATGTGTATGAGTCTCGGCCTAATATGGTTTACTTTAGCTGACAGCACAGTCGCACCAAATTTCAACTTGACAGGTAAAGAAGCATTGTACTTTATGGTTTAACAAAATTCTTATTTTGCCTAGAGTGGTATTCCATAAAAGTGTTCAGGAGTTTTTGGTGGTAATGCCTTAAGGTGTCATACTGAAAATGTAGATTTTATTATATTGTTGCACTAGCAGTACTACAGCTATGGTAGAAGAGGCATTTTCATTCTGAGTCCCAGTTCTTAGGAACTTATAACTTTCCAAAAATATTACCACTTATATTTTTCTTCAGTCCAGAAATAAAAGTTTTTGATAAGTTAATAAATCAGATGAAATTCTGTTTGACTGTTTTTTAAACATTTAACATTAAAAGGTAAGTTTGGTTTTGCTAAGTAAATATTTCAGACTTTATATTTTTGGAAACTCTTTCTCTACTTTCATGTTTTCTGTAGAATTGACAGTCTCAGTGACAAATGTTCCGAAGTATAAGCCAGTCAATTGACCAGTCTTGGTAATGTTAGTTGACCAGATCATTGCCTCTGTTTGAATAATATGTGCTCAAATTTTGGTGGATACTTCAGCAAGCTAAGGATTCCATTATGTAGGTTTGCATCATGGTGCCATCTGTTAGTAAACGCAGTGTTGCAGGGGTCAAGATTCACACAGGCAGACTCCCCTCCCTTCACTAATAACACAAAGCTCCTTCGTATATATGCAGCCATAGTACAAGCCTTATCTTATGTTTAGACACAGGTGGATCTTGCCCTGCTCTTCTCCTGAGTTCTTGTAGGCTGTTAGGCCAAGTGGGGCTGCAGTTTTGCTGCTCCTAATTCAGATAACTTCTGCTATAGGGGTGGGCAAAATACAGCCTGTGGGTGGAATCTAGCCCACAAAGGGATTCTGACCAGCTCCTGGTGGGTTCCTTGGCCCCGTCTGGCCCAAGCATAAGGGGGCAGCCTAGGCCGTGGTATGTGCAGCAGGTCCTGCCACCCCCAGGTGCAAAGTGGGGCAGAGGTGGCCCAGCAGCCAGACTCAGCTTCCTGGTAGCCCCTGCAGCAGTGGCTCACTCTGGGTGCTACCTATGGACCTGGCCCCCCGGCCTGTCCACGCCACACCCACTGGTGGTGGGGAGCAGGCAGGTTGACAGGGTCTCCACAGAGACTGGGCCAGGACCCCTTCGGGCAGGGCGTGCTCAGCCAGGCAGATAATGGGGCCGCAGGCAAACGGGGGATGGCATCTGGGAGCAGGATGGGCAGGGGCAGAGCTGGGATCATGGGGAGATGACAGTACAGGGACTGGCGTAGAGGCGTGATTCTGCATCCCTGCAATTGGTGTTGGTTCTGCAGGCAAGGACATGCAGGGAGTGTATTGTGGCCTTGCCCTGAGGCCCCGGCCCTGCTTGCCTATGGGTGCAGGGCAAAGAGGCCTGGGAGAATCAGTTGCTACCTCCCCCACACCGCTGCTGGGCTGGTCTTGCTCTGGACCCCTCCCTACTTCTTCCTGCTCCCCCATAGCCCCACAACAGCTCATCAAAACTTCTTAAGTGGCACTCCTGCTCAAATAATTGCCCACCTCTGCTCTACTAGCTGTCTGCTACAGAAAGAAGAGGAACCCCTGAGGTGGCACAGGCTTCTGTGATTACCCTGGGCTTTGGGGAAAGGATGATTCATTTGTTCCTTCCCTCTCTATGCAGCATGGGAGTTTAAAAATCCAGGAAGTGAGAAAACATGTTGATTGGCTGGAATCTCGTGGAATAGGAACAGTTAGAAACAGACCTAGCTAAGTAGTGGGATGCTTGAATACAAGCCTCTGGATTGTGAGCTAGTAAGGCATTAATAAACTATGAAGAGTCAGGAAAAGCCAAAGTAGTCTGTGTGGAAATTAATTACTAGAAGTGAATATGAAAAATATTAAAGCAAAGTGCAAATTCTGTTCTTCTGAGTAGATAGGATACAGTTAGAATGGAGAACTATTGGTTGAATTTTTGTGATGGGTATCTAGCTGCTGTCAAAGATTAGATTATTTCAGTCAAACCATATGAAAGGGGAAACTCATATGCCTCAACATTTTTCTTTGCATAATCCTTCAACTTTGTTTGGTATCATCATCCCAAAGCATGGGATCTTAGAATAAAAGTGGAGCTTAGCACAATTATTTTTTCATTTTCTAATACATTACATTTTCTAATTTTGCTATTCCATGCATGTCAGTCTCAAAACTTTTCACTCCTGGAAGGCCTTCACTTGTTCATCAAATTGGGTATTAGGTTTTTAGGCAAAATGCCCAATGACCAGAAAATAGACGTCACCGTATTCTGGTACCCATGCCAGAAGTACACCATTTTGTGTACTTGAAAACATTAAGTGCTTCTATACATCCAATTTACAAAGTTCCAAGTAGGAAACAATTTGAAGGAAGCCTTCTGTATCTTAAAGTGGGAGAAATGAAATAAAGAGCAGAGTTGGTGATGTGATTGCATAAGTTTCTTGGTCGTCTCTGGTATCTTGATGGAAGAGTGTCGGTTTCATGACCACTGACAAACACTGAGTTTTGCATTCTGATGAACAGCTGAGCATCACTTCATAGCCCAATATATGCATGACAAGTTTAAAAATATAATTGGCAGATCTGGTCCACAGAAAGTTATTTCTGTAGTGACTGACAGTCAGGGGTCCTAACAGGTCCCCCAGCCTAACCTAATTGCCCAGCTGGCCAAACCTGCCAGGCTTTAACTAGCAGTCCCACCCTATCTGATGAACGAGCTGGTCACTTGGGGCTTCCTGATTTGGCTGCCTGGGAGAGCAACTTCTCCAAGTCCCCCTATGGCAATACAAAGTAGGCCAGTGAGTAGTTTCACCTGTAGGTCAAAGAGCACCAAGATCATGACTTCTGAACCTGCATAGCTTTGCTTCTGGACTCTGGCTGTTGGAAATTTCCCTTGGCTTTGCTAACTCCAGTGTCATTTGGATGCAAAACTCAAAATTCATATTGTTGCTTGAAACCATACAGAGCCCATTCAGAATATGAAGAGTGATAATTCTCTGTTGTTTGAACCCAAGAATGATGGTCTAAGCCAATGGTCTCCACACTTTTTTGATTATGCACCCCTATCAGTAAAAAATTTCTGAGCACACCCCCCAGTATATGTATATTTATATAAATATAAATGGAAGTTCTAATATTTTCTTCCTGCACCCCAGTGGATCATCTTGCGCACCCCACTTCAGAGACCACTGGTCTAAGCAAAAAAAAAAAACAAATTTGTGATAATGCTGAGTAAAGTCCTTACAAAAGCTAAAGACGAAAAAATTGAGGAAAACTTCAAGGTAAATCAAGTGACCACTCCCCCGCACAGTGCTGCTTGGCTTCTTGAACCATGCTGCTACAGCACCCTTTTTGCAGAGTACCCTGGATTCAGCTGATGACCTTGTACTGTCTAGTGCAAATTATAAATTATGTGGAAACAAGTGAAAATTTCTGGCAAAGACAGCAAATTGTAAAGCAAGAAGCAAGTGTTTTATAAAACAGTGCAGAGTGCAGTCCCAGCAACAGCATCAAATGAGATTCTTTCATTATCGTGGAAGGAGTTGTGTCCTTGCACTCTAGCTACATTGGAAGAATTTTTTTTCAACATTTCTGTGTGCGCAGAACAACCTAGTTGTAGGTCATTTTGGGGAGCTGTCCATTCAGAAGCCAGAAATGTACTGCTGAGAACCATGTCACAATTTAGGGTTGTAAAAAAAAAAAAGGCTGATAAAGAATTGAGTAAATATTTGGATGAAGAGGAAAAAGTGGGAGGTACTCATGAATTTGATGACAAAAGTGAAAGATGAAGCAGTGGAGACTGATTTAAAAAAAATAACGTAAAGCAGAAAGTTTAGGAGTTGGTGTGCCGCAACCCTGTTGTGACTGGTTTTGGAACTCTTTTTTCATTTATATTTGTCACCTTTTTTATTATTTGTTTTAGACCTCTTTTTGGCCTTCAGTAATGTTCACATTTAATAGTAACCAAACACTGCTAGAAAGGATGTAATAATTCTTAAATTTGTTTTAAATTTTATTTAATAGTTTTCAGACTTTAAAAGATCTCCCTTATATTGAGGGCAGGAGGGGTTGTGACTGAGCATAAGTTTCTAACCTGGTACAAATTCTGAAGTCTTTCTTGTAACTATTCTAATAAATTCTTTTAAATATTTGACAGTGTTTTTACATTGGCAATATTTGCCTTGTTAGTATACCAGTTTATTTTATGAAGTGTCTGAATGCAAATATTTGTTTAGTTCTGTTCATGAGTTTGCTATGTTGCCTTTTTAATAGTTTTATTTGTGTGTATTAGAGCTGGAAAACATTACTATTTCACATCTGTGAATTATAGGATCTACTGCATTTATTTAATGTACATTTTAGTTAGCATCACACATGACTGGATGTGTAGTTGAATGAGAGAAATGGGTATGATGTGAAGATGGTATGACTTTTGGTGCCTGGTAAATAAGTCTGCCCAAATGTAACTCCATATGAAGGTGCATATTATTTCTTCTGCTTTCAGAATGGGTTTTAAATGTGAAAATGCAAAATTTAAATAGTCCACACATTTAAAGATTTCTTTTGGGGATTTTTAATTTGGTTGGAAAGATGTTGTAAACTGAAGGAAGTGGGACTGTGTTGGTGCCAAAATCAATAATTTTGAGTGAGAAAATCATCTATAGATACTAGTGTTTGAAAATTGTCACTATAGCACTACAAACAGTATTACCTTTTTGTTTTTAACATGCTTTGGATCTATTTCAACCAAAGGTATATTGATATCCAGAATATAATAGGTCTCAAAACTGGGGTTTGAAAGACTGTTTCATATCAAAAGACTAAGTCCAAGCTCTCTTCCTGGTTCTGGTACTCACTTTCTGTAATCCTGGACAAGTTATATCTTTACCTTGATTCCCATCCTACTTATTTATCCAAACCTATTCCCATCCTACCTATTAGTGTTTCACAGAGGGGAGGGGGGTTATACAGGTGTAGAAGTTAAGTCTTTTATTTTAGTAGCCAAATGATGGAGGTAGAATGCAACTTAGTACATTACATAAGAAGCATGCTTGAAGCTAGCTTACAGTAGTCTATGTACTGCTGTCATTGTATTACCAATTTAAGTGTGACATTTCTCAAGAGTGTTTACTATATAAGGTAATATTACCTTGTCCCTTAATAGTTCTGTGTAGTTTTATTCCATGACTCCTGATGACACCCTGAAGAAAACTGCAGTGAAGATGTCCATAGGAAGCAGAAAGTAAATTGACATTTGAAATATATTCAGGGATAGTGAAAAGAAAACCTGGTTACAGACTTAAACATATTAAGTCTTTCAAAACAACATTAACTTTTTACTGTGGATTGTAACTCCAAAATGACAAATTCCTAAGAATTCACTTGCCTTATACCGTCTAGTTGCTAGTCACCAAATAACGTCAGATTTCCTTCTAGTGGCTCATAATCATAAATACATTGAAAGCATTTACACACAAACTTGTATGATTCTAGCGGAAGCATTTCTTTACTCATATAATTTAATCAGAATTCTTTAAACGTGCACATTGTCAAGGGCAAATCTATTTACATGTCACAATTTTGCCTAAGGAAGCAAAACTGCACTGTGAGGTTAAACAGAACAAGTAATCTTTGCTGTCTGATACAAATGTTAAAAACAGAAAACCTGAGTGGTTTAAAGCATCAGCTTGATAAAAAAAATTGTGCCATGCAGAATTTTGTAAATTAGATTTAAGGCTCCTTAGTACCAGTGGAATCCAGAGGCAGCATTGTTGTGTAAGAGAAACACATTGGCTTAATGAAATATACCTCACTCAAGGATCCGTTCATCCACTGCGCTTGTCAGCCAAGGAAACAAAGTGGCATTTGCCAGTGCACTTTTGTATCTGTAACTAGGAAGGAAATTAATTTTTAAAAGAGAATACATACTTAGAGCTCAGTAATTGCTGTTGGCATTGTCATACTGGAAGTTGGAAGTTACTTTCTCAAGCAGCTGTGATTGGAAGTATTGTGCTTTTCAAAGAGGGGAGACCACAGATAAAAAGGGTACATTTTGCTACATCTATGCAGCAATCAACAAGGGAGACTTTTATCTAGGCTACTGGCAGTATTAGTGAGTGTTAGGAACACTGCCTGGAGCAATAGGAGATGATGGGTTCCATGCCCACTCTTGTCCCCTCTCGTCTTCCTATACAGAGAATTATTAGCTTTATTCATATTACAGTAAAGGTGTTTGGCGGGGCAGATTTTTAAATATCAAAATATTTGAATTGGGATATTGAGATATCATTTTGTCCATTTAGTCTTACACTTAGATAACAGATTAGAAAACAGGTTGTTTTTTTTTTCTTTAAAGGCCAGGTGAATTGTTCATAAACTTGGTGTGGAATAAAACTTCAAAGCATTTTAATAAAGCAAAGATTTTTTTTTTTTCCCCCCAAAAGATATGAACTCCTATAAGGTACCACAGTGCATGGGAAATAGTTAATTTGATTCAAATTATTTGTGTTTAACTGTGGGATTAAGTGCCCCCATCAAATTTTTTGTGGGGAAAAGGAAGAATTATGATGGATTTTTTTATATAAGAAGCAGACAGTAAACTTTGGTTAATTTGCGCATTGGATAACTCGCCGTTGTTCCAGTTCTTTGCCAGTGACTGCCCCTCTCTCTGCTTCCCTTTGCTGCTAACCCCTGATGATTGGTCACTGCTGGATAATTCACTGTTATTTACCTTCCTATTGGAATTGCAAATTAAACAGTTTCCTATATGCCAGTACAAGAAAAGCAAAATTAAAAAACTTCTAACGGATATAGTTTTAGCTAGCATTTTTAAAATGATACCCCTTGCAGTTCAAGATTTATGAGGGCAAGTTTGAAGTGGCACTTTGTTACTGTTCTGCTTGTTTAGTAAATCAGTACTCTGAACAGTTTTCTCCCCTCTTTACTTTCTTGAAGGTGTGGTCCTTATATCCCTTGCCCTCTGTGCAGATGCCGTTATAGGAAATGTACAGGAAAAAGCTATGAAGTTGCACAATGGTTCCAATTCAGAAATGGTAAATACCTGACTTTAATTTAGTGTTCTGTCACACTGGCTATATTACGACATTGACAATCAAACTGTAATAGAACTAACTGAATGGAAGCAAAGGGTTGGATAGATATGAAATTAGAATTTCTTACCATTTTAATCCTTGCTAAGTCAAGATACAAAAAAATGTGATGATAAAAAAAAGTTACTCATTTTTGCCTTGCATATAAAAAGAATGTGCATTTGGTGCATTGCTCCTTTTTTGACCCTTAAAGGCACACATTTGTCTACATTCTTACTATCAAATAATATTTTTGAGGTTGCAATATTTGTTTCTCCCTAATTGCACTGAATATTTACATAAATGTGGGTGTATTTTACTGTATTTTCTTGCATACAACACCTGTTTTCCAAAAACAACTGTTGGAAATGGAGTATGCATTGTATCCAAGAAATATGGTACAAGCAATTTCTGCCACTTACCAGGAAAAAACAAAGATAAAGTTTGTACACAGTCCACAGAGAACTACCTAGCTGTTGTTACTCAATTACTTATTACAAGAAATTTCTTTTCTTTTTTTTTTTTTTTTTTTTTTT